CCTGGACAGCCCGTGGGCGCGCGCCCGGCACGGTCGTGGGTGCGGGGCCGCCAGGGTCTCCAGTGGCTTCTTGTCCCCTTCTTGGGAGTAGGGAGGGGCGGTGAGTCGGTGGACGCCGCGCCGTGTGTCACCTGGTGTGTCACACGGCACTGGTAATGCCGACTCAGCAGCAGGCGAGCGTCAGCCCTTTTGCCTGTTTTGTCTTTCCAGATGGCAGAGCCACCGGGGGATTTCTGCACCGATGAGGGCTGTGCAGGTGACGTCGTCGTAGAAAAGTACCTGGCGGAGTCCAAGGAGTCCGCATCGCACGTCCAGCTGGCGTGCCGGGGGCCGCACTGCGCCTTCCCCGTGGATGGCAGTGAGCTTGGTGTATGGAACGCCGGGGACCCTTCTCGCCAGGTGTTTGGAAGTTGTTTGCGTTTCTTGTTCAGTCAGGTGGCACGAGAGCCTTGCTGTCACCTGGCTGTTTCTCTGATGCTGTTTGGGTGACGTTACCCTCTGTACATTCAGTTAACAACTGTGAGTGAAGAATGGTATAACAGAAACGTGATATGGAGTTTGATTTTTATAAAATAAAACGTCTGAAATCATTTTCTTAAAAAATCCTTTAGTGAGAACACGAGCAGGAAGAGATTCATCTTTTCCCCTTATTTATTTATTTATTTATTTAATTTTTTTATGGTGACTTTGGTTAACGAAATCCAGTAGGTTTCAAGTGTACAATTCAGCAGTAAGGCGTATTGCACTGTGTGTTCACTGCCCACAGTTAGATTTCTTTCTGTCACCACATTTTTGACCCCTTGACCCTGTCTGCCTTCCCGCTTCTTATTCCCTCCACCCTCTGCGAACCACTAGTCTGTTGTCCGTGTCCATGAGTCTCTGTTTGTCCTTTTTGTCTGTTGCTTTTAGGTTTATATCTCACATGTAAGTGATATCGTGTGGTTTTCAACTTTATCAGTCTGGCTTATTTTGCTTAACATGATTGTCTCGAGGCCCAACCATGTTGTCGCAAATGGCTGTATTTCATCTCTTCTTGTGGCTGAACGATATTCCATTGTATATATGTACCACAGCTTCTTTATCCAGTCACGTATCGTAGGACACTTCGGTTGCTTCCATGTCCCGGCCACCGTGACTAATGCCACTATGAACATAGGTGTGCAGATTATCTTTTTGGATATATGTAAGAAGAGATTCATTTTAACACAATCAAAATAAGTTGAAATTTTGTAGGTTTTTAATATTAACACATTTAAGGAAGTTTGTCACGTGTATTGCAGAATCTTACATCAAACCGATAGTTTTAAAGACATTATTTGTTTTCATTCTAAGCTTATTTCATGAGTAATATCATTATTTGAAAACTCTTAATAAAAACAAATTTCCTTGTCCAAAATGAAAAAAGTAAATTCTATCCACATGTGTGGTATTTGAATAATTTCTGTCTTAATTTTGAGCTTCAGGAGTCTGAGAACTGTGACTACAGTAGGTAGGAACCAGGACCACGGTTATTTTGAAACTTTTTTAACTTTCAATCTCACTGGCAATCACCTAGCTGATAGCAGCCACCCATCATTATAAAGGGAAAGCTATATCTTGATTCTCCCCCTGAGCGTAGAGATATACATTCAGATGGCCAGCTTGAGCTGACCGTTTTCTGTGAACGACGAAATGCTTAGAAGAGTGCACCCCGACACTGAGTGCCTGCTGTCGTGGTTATGACCAAGCGAGCACAGCTGGGTGACCACCCCCTCTCCATCCGTGCACGCTTCTCCCGCCCCACGGGGAGCACCGCCTTGCTTCTAGCACCGTAGGTGGGTGTTTCTTAAGTTTGAACTTTGCGTGCGTGGGGTCGTGTATTATGCATTCTTTTGCACTGGTCTCTTTCATTCACCATCATGTCTATGAGATTCATCCATACCGTTCATTCTCATTACTGCACAGTGTCCCATCGTGTGGATAGACCACACTTGACCCGTTCTGCTGTTGGTGGACGTTTTTTGATTCTATATTTTGACTGCTGCAAATGTTCTTTAAAATGTCCTTTGGAACACACGTGTGTACAACTGCTGAGTCATAGGGGAGTCGTATGTTTAGTTTAGCGGATAAAGATAATGCTAAGAAGACTTCCAGTCTGTACTCCAAACGGCGTACTCCAGAGGCCCCACATCCTCACCTCTCTGTGGTCCTTTTCATCTTAGCCCCTCTGGTGGGCGTGGTGGTTTCATTTGCATTTTTTTTTTCTTGATGGTTAGCACCTTTTCGTACAGTTATTGGCTATTTAGACATTTTCTCCTTTTAATCTTTGTCAAGGCTGAATGATGTATGTGTGCGACATCTTGCCATTTTTCTCTTGGATTATGTCTTTTTCCTGTTGATTTGAAGAAATTTTTTATGTATTCTAAATATAAGCTTTTAGATTAGTTTGCATTTTTCAGAGTTTTATATAAATGGAATCAGACAGTATTTACTGGTTTTGTTTGGCTTTTTTCATTCAGAATAATTATTTTGAGACTTATCTATATTGCATGTAGCGATAGTTCATTCTTTTTATCACTGAGTAATATTCCATTGTATGAATAAGCTACAATTTGTTTATTCATTTTTCTGTTGGAGGGCATTTAGGTTATTTTTATATTTTATTTAACTATTATAAATAAAGCTGCTATAAATATTTGTGTGCCTTTTATTTTATAAATGTCAGTTAGGTCACCCTGGTTTCTGGTGTTCCGGTCTCCCATGTCCTTGCTGATTCGCCGTCCACTTGTTCTGTCTGTCAGTCACCGGGAGAGGCATGTTGAAATCTGTGACTCTCCGTGTGAATTTGTCTCCTTTTCCATCAGTGTTATTCCATGTATTCTGAAGCTCTATTATTAAGCATGTAAATGTTTAATATTTTTATGTCCTCTCGATGAATAAACTCCATTAATATTATGAAGTGACATTCTTTATCTCTGAAAATATTCCTTGCTTTGAAAATTTGGCTTCTTTTTACTTTTTTTTTTTTTTAATTTAAGGCTTTTTTTAAGGAGTAGTTTTAGGTTCACAAAATATTGAGGGGAAGGTACAGAGATTTCCCATATACCCCTTGCTCCCACACGTACATAGTCCCCCAGTTATCGTCACCCCATTGGAGAATACATTAGTTACAGCGATGAACCTAAACGGACACATCATTATCGCCCAGAGTTCGTAGGTTACCTTAGCTCACTCTTGCTGTTGGACACTGTGGGCCTGGACAAATGTGTAATGACACGTATCCATCATTATAGTTTCATGCAGAGAATTTCCACTGCCCTAAAAGCCCTTTTTGCTCTGCCTCCTCGTTCCTCCCGACCCTCTGATAACCCCTGGCAGCGACTGATCTTTCTATGGTCTCCATCGTGTTGCCTTTCCCAGGCTGGCTGTCATGTAGTTGGACTCACACAGAACGTGGCCTTTTTGGATTGGCTTCTTTCGCTTAGTAACGTGCATTTACGTTTCTTCCATGTCTTTTCATGACCTAGTAGCTCGTTTCTTTCTAGCTGAATAACATTCCATCGTCTGGATAGACCACAGTTTGTTTATTCCATCGTCTGGATGGACCACAGTTTGTTTATCCGTCACCTGCTGAAGGACCTCTTGTCGCTTTCACGTGTTGGCAGTTAAGAATAAGCTGCTGTGAACCTCCATGTGTGAGATTTTGTGTGCATGTAAGTTTTAGCTCTTTTGGGTCAATACCAAGGAACACAAGAGCTGGATTGCGTGGTGAGAGTATGTTTACTTTTATAAACAGAAACCACAAAACTCTTCCAAAGTGGCTGCACCATGTTTCCTTTCTACCAGCAGTGGACGAGAGTGCCGTCGCCCTGCGTCCCTGCCGGCGTTCGGTGGTGTCAGTGTTCCAGGCTCAGGCCATTCTAATAGGCGTGTAGTGGTAGCTCATCGCGGCTTTAATTTCCATTTCCCCGGTGACCTGTGAGTGGAGCTTCTTTTCATATGCTTCCTTGCCGTCTGTACATTTTCTTTGATGAGGTGTCTGTTAAGATCTTTTACCCATTTTTAAATCAGGTCTTTTTCTTGCTTTAAGAGTTCTTTGTGTAGTTTGGCTGATAGTCCTTTATCAGACGTGTCTTTTGCAAATATCTCTCAATCCGTTGTGTGTCTTTTTATTCTCTTGATAGTGTCTTTCACAGAGCAGAACGTTTTAATTTTAGTTAAGTCCAGCTTATCAAGTCTTTCTTTGGTGGCTCTTGCCCTAGGTGGATGGAACAATTCATTGCCAAACCTGTCATCTAGATTTTCCCGAGGTGGTCTTCTGGGAGTTTACAGTTCTCTCTCTTGACTTGCCTTTGCTCCTTTGCGAGAGATCATTGACTTTATGTTGGTCTGTTTCGGGCTCTGCGTTTCCTCCCATTGACCTGTCCTGACGAGTGTAGCTTCACAGTGAGTCCTGGAGTCAAGTGGTGGCTGGCAGTCTTCCAACTTTGTTGTTGTTCTTTGGGATTGTGTGGCTATTCTGGGTCTTTTGCCTCCATATAAATTTTAGAATTCGTTGACTTTCATTGGGATTGCATTGAATCTGTAGATCAAATTCGAAAGAACTGACATCTTGACATATTGAGTCTTCCTGTCTGTGAGCATGGAATATCTCTCCATTCATTTAGTTCTTCTTTGCTTTTTTTCCAACAGAATTTTGTAGTTTTCCTTGTAGACATCTTGCACATATTTTGTTAGATTTGTACCTATTTCATTTTGGGGGTGTTAATGTAAATGGTGGTATTTAAAAAAATTTCTTCTTTTGTGTAGGTGCTTTAAATTTCAAATTATACTTGTTTATTGCTGATATATAGGAAAAAGATGGACTTTTGTATATTAATTTTGTATTCTGCAACCGTTGTATAATTAGTTTCAGGAATTTTTTTGTCAGTTCTTTGGGTTGTCATCTGTGGGCAAAGACAGTTTTACTCCTTCCTTCCGAGTCACTGTACCTTTGCATTTAAAATTTTTTTTTTTTTTTTTGGTCTTACTGCATTGGCTAAGACTTCACGTATGATGTTGAAAAGGAGCAGCGAGAGGGAACATCTTTGCCTTTTCTCTGATCCCAGACGGAACGATTCCAGTTTCTCGCCGTTGTCAGCTGTTAGTGTTTCGTAGCTATATTCTTTATCGAGTTGCAGACCTTCCCCTTTATTGTTAATATCCTGACAGTTTTGATCATGAATCGGTGTTGGATTTTGTCAAATGCTTTTTCTACATCTATCGATGTGATCATGTGATTCTTCTTTTTCCTGTTGTGATGAGTTACATTCATTGACTTTCAAATGTTGAACCGGTCTTGCGTGCCTGAAGTAAATTCCGCTTGGTTATGGTGTACGATTTCTTCGATACATTGTTGGGTTTGATCGGCTAATATTCTGAATATTTTCTTGAGCATATTGGTCTGTAGTTTTCGTGTAATATTTCATCTGGTTTTGGTATTAGTGTGATTCTGGCTTCATAGAATGAGTGAGTTCCTCTGTTCCTCTGTTTCTAATGAGAGAGACTGTGGAGAATTGGTATACTTTCTTCCCTAAATGTTTGACAGAATTCACCAGTGAACCCATCTTGGCGTGGTGCTTTCTGCTTTGGAAGGTTATTAATTATTGATTTATTTTCTTTAATAGACATAAGCCTGTTCAGATCATCTGTTTCTTTTTCTGCAACATCTCACCTGATGTTAATCCCACTCACTGTATTTTTCATTTGTCATTCTAGTTTTCATCTCTCGAAGTTAGATTTAGGTCTTAAAATATACTTAGTGCTTCTGTTTAGCTTCTTGAACATATAGAATAAAGTTATAATGACGTTTAAGGTCCTAAACCAGTAATTCTAACATCGGGATCAGTTCTGGGTTGGTTTCCAGGCCGTCTGGATGGCCTCTGGGTGTTTTTCGTGGTTTCTCATTTCGGTTGGTTTCCGACTGGATGGTCTTATCTCCTTGAATTCCCAGTTACTTTTGATTGGTTGCTGCACGTTATCATGAAAAAAGATACACTGCTGCGTTTGTGGCTCCTGATGGTCTTTGCTTCTGCCAAAGAGAGTTCAGGTCCTGCCTGCCCGCTGGCCGAGGGTGCTGTGGTCCCAGATCACCACAGTCCAGCCAGGGGTGAGGAGAACGTGAAGGTGGCTGTCGGCGCTCGTGGGGCTCCTCCGTTTCGTCTGCCTTCGCTCCTGGGGTCTGACCCTTTGGGTCCCTGCTCTCAGCCTAGGGCGCGTAGCAGCATGCCCCTTACCCTGTGTGAGAAGGCCGTATTCTCTTTTTAAAGCAGAATTTTATTAAAGTCCATCCATAGGGTTTTAAGGGAAACACAGAGTGCTCAGCTCTAAGGCTGCCGACTTTCTGCAAAGTACTTTGCGAGGCAGAACTTTTTGCCTTTCTCCCAATAACCAGATGAAAGAAGTGTCTGTTTATGGCCCTGAAAATGACGCGTTCATTTATTTACACCATTTTAGTCCCTGTAGCCTCATAAATATCTCAGCTTTTTAATGGCCTTTCAGGAATTATCAGGAAGCTGCCTTTTGAGCGCTGTCCTCGTGGGAGAAGTGGCCTCCCACGCTGGATCCCTTCTCTGTTTTCCTCTTCCCTGTGATCTTAATTCTTCACGTGTAGATTCTGTCCCCTTTTTCTTGCGAATGTCCTTGGGAGCCTGGTACCCAGCACTGGCCTCACGTTTGGTGGTGACCCTCCCGTCAGACCGCCCGCTGCCTCCTTACCGTCCGCCCGGGAGCATGTCCGCTGTCCGCGAAGCGTACGACGCCCGGTCCATCCCGTCTGCCTCCTGTCTCCGGCTGTGTTTCCTGTCTTTGCCGCCGTCCACCCAGGACGTCAGCCTGTGACGTGACTGTCTGCTGTCGTCCTTTCCTCCTTCCTCCCATGTCCGTTGGCTGGTCCTCACCCTCACCTCCTCGCCGGGCCCGTCTTGGCCTCTGGTGCAGGCCTTCGTCGTTTCTCCCGGAGTGTGTTGGTCTCTCCATGTCCCACTCCGGTCTCCTGCACTGGCAGCAGTGCTGTGGGCCTGAGAAACGGCTGGCCATCGCATTCCTCTGCTCGTCCATTTTTGCCGGCTTCCGGTTTCCTGGAGTGCCACCAGAACTCCTTGCGGGGCCACCGGGGCGTTGCCCCCGCCCACCTCTCACCCGCAGCTTCGTAAGTGTGCCCGGCCTTCCCAGCTGCCTGGGCGCGCTCCTGCCGCCCAGGCCCTGTGACTCCCGCATCCTGCCACGGGCAGCACAGCTGTCCTCTCTCGTGGCACGTAGCGGATGCAGCACGTGGCTGTGTAATAAGTAACGAGGAACTGGGAGAGCCACCTGCATCCTGTTACTAGTGTGTTATCTGTGGTGCCGAGAACGGTGACAGGGTTAACCCGAGAGAATAATGTAGAAGCACACAGACAGGAATTTTAATAAATGAGAAACGAACATATGAAATAAACATATTTGACAAATTTAATCCATTTAATTTCTTAGGTTTGAGGCTATGTTGTTAGGTCCTTTTATTTTGTGTTATCTCTATGGTATTTTTGTTTTTTAACTTTTTAGCTTCTAATCTTAAGAGGACACCATCAGCCAATTACTGCTGTGGCGTTTGGAAACACAGCGGATCCACTTCTGATCTGTTCTGCGTCACAAGATTATGTTATAAAGTGGAACCTATGAATGCCGATTTTTTGCTTCAAGGTAAATGTAAATTTAAAATGTATTTTAAAAATTGTATGAAGGGAATAACATCCTTAAACATGCTTGGTGACATAAGGGGTTTTGGGTTCCCCTTTGAGCCCTTCAACCTTGAAACCAGATGCCAAGCTGGATGCACATACGGGATGCACACGGGGCCGTTCACATCTCCTGGCCTTGTCTGTGTGAAGCTGGTATCTTGGGCTCAGAGGTTTTAATCTTACGTGTTTTCTTATTTCGAAATCTGATTTTTGTGGAACTTTGAAAACATGTAGGCCAGTTGACACATTCTTTCCTTACAGAAACAGTGGTAAATTTATAGCTTAGAGAAACGGACAGGAAACATGTAAGCACATAGGCAAGAAGTGGTTGTGAATTGTGGGACATGCAGTAGAGAAAGCAAGAGAGGTGTCGACAGAGACCATGGCAGGATGTGTCCACACAGTACGGGCTCTAAAGAGGTGACATTGAGCAGGAGGAGGAGCTGATGGAGGGGTTGGCAGTGGGGGGCGTCGCAATGCCAGGAATAGCATTTGGCAGAGGCATCATGGGTGCTTGGGCCTGGGCGTGGAGAGCTGGACCTGTTTGAAGAGCTGAGGACGAGCCCTTATGGTGGGAGCATGGTGACGGCAGGAAGATTTTATCAGATGGTGTTTAAAATCTAGGGGAGGATCACATTAAGGCATTACATTGAGGATTCATAGGATTACCCTAAAAATCAGCGTCAAGTAATTCTAGGCAGCAGCCTATATTATAGTTTATCCTCCACCTTAATTTGTAGTATGATCACTCCGATACCAGTGTGTTACTGCTGACATATGCACATGAGGATACATACATACTCACAAATGTAATACACGTGTGCATGGAAACACGAACACATGTAGCACCTACACATGCACACACAGTACATGCATACCTACACACATGCACATGCACACACATGATGTACACACACCAGAAAATATACATACATATATAGCACACATGCACACACATGATGTACACACATCACAAAATATACATACATATACAGCACACATGCACACACATGTATATATAGCACACACATGGAAATGTATCAATGACACACTGCATACATGCACATGCTTATATAATATATAAGCCATACACATGGCACGTACATACGCACATAGCACACACACACGGTACATGCACACATGTAGCACATGCATGCACAAACATGTACACAGCGCACACACATATAGTCCATGCACACATGCATATAGCATGCATACACAATAAACACATGCACATGCGCACACAGCACCCACCTACACAATAAACACATGCACATGTGCACACAGCACCCACCTATAGTATGCATGTGCATACATGCACAGCACACACATGCACATAGTACATGTGCATAGTACATGCACACATGCATACACACAGCACATGAACACAGCACATACATGGCATACACACCCACACATGTGTAGCACACAAGCAAGGTGTACATGTACATGCATGCACAGCTCATGCAATACACACATGTATACAATATAGCAATACACATACACATATGTATAGTACACATATATGGTATACACGTGCACACCTACACAAGCACATGTGTATAGTACACATGTGTGCATGCATTCACAGCACACACACACAATTCCTACCCATATATGTAGTGCATGCACACACATGCATATGTACAGAGAACCACTTATTAACCATCTGCTCCGTGCAGGGGTCTTTTTGTAAATAGTCCTCCATGTCGAAGGGGCTGTACTCCCAAAGTTTATTTTCAAGTTGCTCTTTGGAACCTCACGTGGATTTTGATACAAGGTGCTGTGCTCCCAGGATCTTGGACAGAGGCTCGGCCCTGAGGGCTGGCACCGGTGGGCATGCTGGAGCTAGGCATCCAGCACATGGCAGCTAGCACGGTGGGCATGCTGCAGCTGGGCCTGTGTCCTGTGCTCCGCAGTGGATTAGAGCAAGCTCCTTCTCCACCTTCCACTTGGGGCTGTTGGGGAGGGATTCTCCCCTGCTGCTGGCCGTCAGCTGTGGCCCTGTGGCCCTGGTGGGAGCCAGCACAACCAGGTCTGGTTTAGGGGTCCACTGGGGTGGTGCGTAGAATTCCTGTACCTTTGTGTCCAGTGCTGATTTGCGTTTGCAGCTGCACTTAGAAAAGGTCTGTCGCCAGCGGCCTCAAGTTGCTGTGCCGGTCTTCAGTCGACCAGTCCCAGTGGTCACTTGTTCCCAGTCTCTTTTGCTGGTGTCTGCTCATTCTCCCAGCCCCTAACATCAGAATATGGGCTTTTCTTCGCCATCAGAATTCACTCTCGTGGTGATGGTGCCCAGGCCGTTGGCTTTTAAAAATGTTTCTATGTAGATAATTGTCACCTCTATT